CCCCCCCCCCACCAACCCACTCACCCACTCATTCTATGACTTTAAATGTACATGCACAGCTGAAACCACATCTGTCTGCTTGCTTAATCTTAAAAATGGGAATCTGGCAGCTTACTGAATAATGATACAAGTAAACGACCATTTTGAGACATCAATAAAGTTTATTCCACTTCTCAGGCTATTAACTCCAAAAGAACCTTTCTCTCATGCCTTGGAGGCATCTTTACTTTTTGATTTTCAATATTAGATTTTTTTGACCCTGAGGGAATAGTATTTTTTTTTTATTAAAGAGAGCAGATGTTACACTCTGTTCGCTGATTTTTGAGTTAAAGTAAGATACCAATGTCAAAACACTCCATTTAAAGCTGTACACMTGCATTGTTTACAGTTTTGTAGTACAGCATTTCCTTTGCATTCTGTTTTGAATAATTCTTTTAGGTTACATAAGTAAAGCTTTGCCATTATTAAACGATACGATGTCAGCGGTGCACGCAGCTTGTCCTTCAAGCAGCGTTAACATCGTTTCTCTAGGATTCATAGGATTTTTGGGGACAGCTCTCATACTTTCACCAAAGCACAAGAATACATACAGTAGCAATGACAAAAAAGGAGCCACAAAAAAGGCACCAGTTTTCACAATATTTATGCCTAAACCAGCAAGTGCGAGTCGTGTAATACTCATCACGGTCCTGCTGTTATAAAAAAATAAAATAAAAAATAAAAAACAGGCAACAAACAGTAAAAAGTATTTCAAAACACATGTTCCTACGACATTTTTGTCTTTCTGTATATGGGGGACTTGTACTGTATATGTGCATCTTGTGTATTGGGACCATGTAGGAGTAACTTTTGCTATGAGATGCTTAAAATAAGGATCAACTAGTGCAGAATTATTAGTTTCTTAGCAACAGCAATGAACGACGATAGTGGGCCTTGTCAAAGTTGTTTATGCTGGGAGTATTGCTAATTGTGTTTTATAAGCAACACCATTTTTGCATTAAATGCTCCTCGAGAGTTAGTGGATCAGCAAAAAATGTCTCCCTCTGCTCACAATACTTTACAGGAAATATATTGGCTCTGGTTACYAATCAGTTTAACTTTGGRCTTTTTTTTGGCCATAAACTGCTTCAAGAAGAGGAAGATGAACAAAAATGAAAAAGAAGAAGACAAAGAAGAAGAAGAAGAGGAAATAAAAATAAAATTAAAAAGGTAGGGGAAAGTCCTTTGGGGGAGATTGATCCCTTAATCACACACAGGTGAAAGCAAGACTTTTGGCTTTTAACACCTCAATTATAAAGTATTTAATCAAAATGAGTCCCTAAAAGCTGTTAAAATGATAAAGAGGCTGTTCAAAAGTACCACATTTCAAAGAATATGTTAGTTATTAAGGTTGCCCGGCAGGAACAAATTAGAGCCCAAGTGAGACAGCTGTGTCCTAACTATAGTGACTTTGTAAAACCCTGCCTGTCCAGAAGGATCTGTGCTGTCAGGGTAACATGAGCCTAAAGGAGGTCAGTCACCCCTCGTGTCTGGTTCACGAGAGAAACCCAGGGCAGCAGTCATGCCTTGTGTTTAGAGTGTGACCTTTAACCTTTTGGGCAAGAAAGCACAACCTGCAGCTGGCTATGATCCACCTGGATATGTAACACACACACACACACACACACACACACACACACACACACACACACACACACACACACAC